ATTTAGCTATAAATGTCTCTAGTTTCTCTTTCTTTATGGCTGAGTAGTACTCCATTTTATAAAAAAAAACCCACATCTTCTTTATCCAGTTTCCAGTCGATGGGCTCTTTGGCTGTTTCCAAACCTTAGCTATTACAAACTGTGCTGCTATAAGTATAGGTACGCATATATCGCTGTGGTATGATTCTTTTAATTCTTTTGGGAAGATACCCAGCAGAGGAATAGCTGGGTCAAATGGGACCTCTAGTCCCATTGACTAGAAGTATCTCCATACTGATTTCCACAGTGGTTGCACCAGTCTGCACTCCCACCAACAATGGAGGAGTGTTCCTTTTTCTCCACACCCCCGCCAGCATCTGTTATTGGTTGATTTCTTGATAGCAGTCAGTCTTTCTGGGATGAGGTGGGACCTCAGTGTTGTTTTCATCTGCATCTCTCGAATGACCACTGATGTTGAACATTTTTTCATCTATTTATTTGCTGCTTTAACTTCTTTGTCTGAGAAATGTCTGGTCATTTCAGATGCCCTTTTTTTAATTGGGCCTTGAATTTGGGGGGGTCTGATTTTTTTTCAGTTCTTTATATATTCTAGACAGTAGTCCTTTTTCTGAGGTACAGCTGCTAAAATTTTTTCCCACATTGTAGGTTGCCTCTTAGCTCTGTTGGTGGATTCTCTTGCAGTGCAGAAGCTTTTTAATAAGATGAAGTCCCAGTTGTTGATTCTTTGTGCTAGTTCCTGTGCTACTGAGGTTTTGTTCATAAAGTCTTTTCCTATGCCAACATCTTCAAGAGTTCTACCTAACTTATCTTCCAGCAAGTTTAGTGTTTCTGTCTTAATATTTACATCTTTAAACCACATTGATCTTAGTTTAGTGCATGGTGCTAGGTACGGGTCTAGTCCTCATCTTTGGTGGGTTGAAATCCAGTTTTTCCAACACCATTTATTAAATAGGCTATCTTTCCTCCATTGAGGGTGGATGGCTCCTTTGTCAAAGATGAGGTGGCCGAGTATGTCTGGAGTTGTTTCTGCATCTTCTAATCTGTTCCACAGATCCTTGGGTCTGTTTTTTTGCAAGTACCATGCTGTTTTTATCACAGTAGCTTCGTAGTTTCAAGTTGGGGATTGTGATACCCCCTGTTCAGTGTCTCTGTTGCCTAGAACTGCTTTTGCTATTCTAGGTCTCTTCTGTTTCCAAATGAATTTTTGGATTGTTTTCTCTAGTTCTGTGAAGTATA